GCCCTGAACCCTAAACCCTTGGACTCGGCTTTCGTTTGTCTCGGATGGCCGGCCTGAGCCCGGCCCAGTCAAAAACAAGAAAATTAACATTTTTTTATGCGGCTCGCCTCCTTGGGACGAACCAAACAGAAAAGTGTTTGGGCGAACTCGAGCATGTCAACCCGAACAGAATTGACAAAAAAAAAAAGCATGTTCTGTTGGCCTCTAACATGTTTGAACCGAACACGTGTTCGTCCTTTTGCTCGATGGCCAAGTTAGATAGAGCAGGACCGTAATAACCTTCCACAATCACCGGGCGGGCACACGTGCCATAAGTCAGCATCCTCCTCATCGTTGTCCCCCCTTCCGATTGGTAAATGAGCCCAGTTTTCTAGTTTTGCCTGAATCGAGCCAGCCGGCAAATTAAAGTGCTGAACCGGTTCGACCAGAGCTGGATGGCAAAGTAGAGGACCAGGTTTGGTACTGTGCACATGCCAATTTGTATTGTATCAGCATACTTTTGTAAACTACAAAATCAAATCTAGCTGCGTGTCGACCTATGTTGCAAACTATGGCACTGGCTCACATGCATAATAGCACTTAGCTTCTTCCCGACCTGTGTGGGACGTACAAGAAAGTGACTTGAGCAAGAGCACTGACACTGGCAGGAATGCTTCCTGAAAGCTGGTTTATCGCGACATCCCTGAGATCAAAAGGACAGGAAGCAGATGCATAGACGATAATCACTCAAGCACTATGAGCTTGGTTGTCAAGGAAGGCAAGGAACTGACAACACGCCGGACCCGAGAGTGCTGGTGGCGGCCGGTGAACGTGTGGGAATATGCTTCACCACGACCCAACCTGCTCTATAAACACATCGCACACATGCGATCCACGTTTTACATGCCTGCCATGCCAACACAAGCTGGAAATAGGTGTCCTATACGTTTGGGACACCTCTGGTTGAGACCCCTGCTCATAAAACATACGATTTGTCTTCCTATTGTGCTCTTCTTCACACAGGTCCATGTCACGCTGCTCTGCAAATAGCATGACGCAAAGCTGCATTTCAGTGAGGTTCCTTTATGCGCAAAAAAAGTAAACGATGCTGAGACCACTAAAGGCTAATAAAGTCAAGAATCACTGCAACAAACACGCCTACAGAGAAGCGACCTCCACCCCTCACGTACTGATCTTGTAAGTATTTGCATCTCTTGCTGATTCCCTTGATTTCATCTGTATTGTTGTCAGTTGTAACGTGAGTCTGCACTTCGTGATACTACCTTCTGCCTAATAAAAACAGTTCAAATGCTGCCAATCGAGTCAACAGACTTTCCACATTTCTGGTCAAACCTTTCTCTCGTCACCTAACTACCATGGCTCCTACCCTACCACTCTATAAGCAGGGCCTTCTACTTGTGCAATGGGTCGACCCCGCCCGATCCGACATGGGTTTGGTTTGACCCAACCGAAGCGGGTCAGGTCAAAACCTTGGTGCCTCGAACTGCTCTGATCTTGTTGGGGTAGAGTCGGGTGTGATTCAAAACCATGTTAGTCAGATCGACCCAACCCTGAGCCTGGTCAAATGAACCGACGGCAGATGGGTGGAACGTGGCTGTTGTTTTTGAATTGCAAGTTTCTTGTTCATTATTTTCTTCAATCAGATAAGCATTACTCATAATCAACTAGATAAGCAAAGCCAAACATCCTGTGCAGTCGAACCGAACATGTTCGATTCAATGCGAACAGTCTTCAAGGGACTGGTGTTCAAAAGCAGTGTGGGCTGATTACATACAGCACATTCTTACAGGGTTACCAGCTTTGTCAGCAAGCCAATGCCAGCGGGGATGGAGCTGGTGAGCTGGTTGCTCGCGAGAGAACTGTTTGAGACGAGGAACAGGCGGAGACCGTGCAAAGGAGATGGGCAAGACAAACCTGTGAGAGTGTAGGGAAGACAATTGTTGTAGTGGCATGAGATTAACTGTCGAACTCAAGCTGGCCCGGTTCTTACATCACTAGCCTAATAACCGATCCAAATTGGGTTTGAGTTAGTCAGGTCAAACAAATTTCTATCCTGGCCGGCCCATTGGCCGACTATATGGTTTGGCCAGTGGGGGTTCATCATGAACCGATGTCACAGCGTAACTCAAATCTGGTTCACTTCACATTAGTAAGATTCAATGTTTCTGAGCTGTTTTTCTTTTTCGTCCTCTGAGTGCATTACTGACTGAAACTTCTTCAACTTTGTAGTGCAAACACCTGTACTGTAACCAAATAATTTAATCACTAAAAATTTACACACCTTGTTGACCGCCAGCCCTGTCTGTCTTGCTGATGCTTCAAGCGACGGTGCACATTTGCCACCCGAAACCCGAAACCTTGGCGACCAGTTACTGCGGAGGAAAAGTCCCCGCACGAATTCCAGGTTTTCGCAAGCCAAAACCTTCGCGCTGGCAAGCCTGGTTCAGAACAAAAACTTCTGAACCTCCGCTTGTCAAATCTAGACCCTCGTTTTAACAAGTACTACTAGCCTCTTCATTGCGAATTACAGAATAGATATATACAAATGAAAACGAGGCCATTCAACTTTACTCAATATTGAGATCCATCAAGACCTTTGGGAACTTGGAACCAAATTACAAGAAAGTAAGAGCAGTGAGTTTCGTGATCGAGGAGGGAACGGATCCTGACAGCAAGTTGAATTGGAGAGAACTGTTGGTGGTGTGGGGAGTAGATGCACGGGGAGAGAGGAGGTGACGAGTTCGAGATTGAGGATAGCATGGATTGAGGTGACAAAGTCTGGACCGACTGCTCGACTTGACGTCTCAGCTTGTCGGCTCGGCTCGTCAGCAGGGCGAGTTGGGCAATGATCCTGCTTCACCGCCTCTGCTGCTAACTCGACGAGCTGGGCTCGGCAAGACCCTGCAGTCTGCTAGTCTCTTAGTCTGCTCACGTGTAGATGTCAGATCCGCAACGATTTAGAACATGGTGACACGCACTTCTCATCGAGCAGTACTCTCCGGCTCATGCAAAAGCTGGGGCCGGGTCGTATTGGCTCGGCCAGCTTGCTACGACGGACGAGCAACGAGCCGAGTCAGCTCCTCAAGCGGAGACAAACTCGTCTTGTCAGCCCACCGGCTTGTCACGGCTCGAGACGAGCCGGCTTGGCCCAGACTCATGCTCATGTGGCAGAAAGGAGCCTTACATGGATGACAACGATAGTAGAGAGCCAATTTCCACAGGGATTGAACCTGTCAGCTGATTAATCCTGAGGGACCTGTAATTGCGTACGAAAGCAAGAAGGACCAGACCAGCAGGTGGAGGTACAAGGCGGTGAGAGAAGCACAAGGAAAGTGGAGGATGGCAGGATTTCTCCATCAAGATGAGCCTCTAGGATCATGCGGTAGGATGAGGAGAGGAATGGTAATGAAAATTCTTGATGAATATGGCCCCTGATTCCTGAACTAGTGCAGTCAGGAGAAAGCAGTAAGAATCTCACTGTGAGATTGTGATCGAAATAAGAATGGAGCGAAAAGCAAGGCTATATATCTGGGCACCACAACACATCCATACATTACATTACATTGATGAAGAGTTGTAATGAGTGTTTCACAGACCTCAAAGAATGCATGTGCGTAACCCCTTGATGCTGTTACCTCATGCTCAACATGAAAAAACTCTCCTGTAAATTTAAATCGACAGCACTAGACTGGAGTGTCACTAACAATAAGGAAACTCGGGTGAGTGTGCTGATGGCCAGACCCGTTACCAGAAAGCCGACCCGTTACCATCGGGTTGGCTAAATCAAAAACATGACCCGTCGCAACGAAAAAAACGAGACCGGTTGGGTCTCCGACCCCGGTCGGTCATGTGTACTTGCATTTGGTTTGGCCAGAATGGAACTCATGTCTCAACCAGTTTGGATCTGATGGTCGGGCTGAAATCGATTTCACAACACCTGTGTTTGCTGCTGGTTTCGACCGTACAAGAGAACAGTTCGACACGAACATAAACTCCAATTGTTCCCTGAAACTCCCTAAAAAACGTATGGGTGGACCAGAGCCACACGGGTTCCAGTCGATGCGTTATTGAGTTGACGTGTTGAACTGGTTTGATGCAACACGTCTCAAGACTAGGTTACCGCTTCGACATTTTGAACCGGTTCGATGCAATGCATGATAGTTACAGCTGAACATCAACCGGTTCAAGTAAAACCCAGACACAATTCGATTCGAACCAAAAGGCAAAGGGGCACCTAGGGATGAGCACAGATACGAACACCTGTTCGGTTCGCCTCGAACATGTTCGAGGCGAACCGAACAGGTTTGTTTTTTTTGCTTAAAGTGTTAGCCGAACAGTGTTCGAGGTTCGCCTCGACCACGTTCGTGTTCGGGCCGCTGCTGCAATTTGCCCCGCGACGAACACGAACGTGTTCGAGGTTCGCCCGAACACGCCTTCACAGGCGAACGACGAACACCTGTTTTTGCTGGAAGTGTTCGCCGAACCGAACAGTGTTCGGTTCGGCAAACGGATGTGTTCGTGTAGGGGCGAACACGAACATGTTCGTGTTCACCCCTTGCTCATCCCTAGGGGCACCCATCGAGCGAACTCAAAAAACTTTATGTTATGCTGGCAGTCTTTATGTTAGCATCCCGCACGATCGCTAGTTCATAGCTAAGTCACCGCAAATGCTTAACAGCCAAGCGTTTTGCTGTAAGAGTACACTCAACGTTCAATCCTAGCGATTGGACAAAACACATTGCGTTGTGTTTAAACAAAAATTCACTAGCGGAAGGGAAACTGCCAGAGCAAGCGGAAAAAAAAAAAGAAAGGAAAGAAAGAAAAAAAAAAGTGTGCTAATGTGTGGGTCGTACAAGTATGTGAGCTGTGAGAGCTGGGTGAGAGTGCTTGGTATGCTCCCATACAGCTGGTTGTAGGCGAGATCCCTGGTGGCCATGGTGGTGAGGTGAGACAGAAGGATGTTAGAGTAACGGGAAGGATACAACCGGAGTACCATGTTGTTAGCGGTCCTTAACATGAGACAGCAGAAGCACATGAGGAAGACAGAAGCACATGAGGAAGACAGAAGCACATGAGGCAGGCAGAAGCACATGAGGCAGGCAGAAGCACATGAGGCAGGCAGAAGCACATGAGGCAGGCAGAAGCACATGAGGCAGGCAGAAGCACATGAGGCAGGCAGAAGCACATGAGACAGGCAGAAGCACATGAGACAGGCAGAAGCACATGAGGCAGAAGGGCACGCTTGGAAAAGGGGGAAAAAAGGCGAAAGAAAGGGCCCGGTTTGGTTTTCTGCTCACCGGGGTCTATACAAACAGGGAGAAACAAGGAGAATCAGAAAGTAGAACAACTTGGCTAATCAAGGGGAAAGAAGAGTAAGGACGGGCTTACAGGAACACTAGTTTTGTCATGTTACAAATCTCAGCAGGAATGGAGCCAGTGAGCTGATTGTTATGAAGACTCCTACATGGAGGCAGAAGGAGTGTGATCGCAAGAGAAGCACAGAAAGAAGCAGGAAAGTTAGAAAAGTCTTGTCGGTCTCCAATTACTGCTGGCCACAAAGGAACACGAGAATAGTACATTGTGTATGAGCAAACTCCACAGCTCAGTTTGGCCCTGAACCCTAAACCCTTGGACTCGGCTTTCGTTTGTCTCGGATGGCCGGCCTGAGCCCGGCCCAGTCAAAAACAAGAAAATTAACATTTTTTTATGCGGCTCGCCTCCTTGGGACGAACCAAACAGAAAAGTGTTTGGGCGAACTCGAGCATGTCAACCCGAACAGAATTGACAAAAAAAAAAGCATGTTCTGTTGGCCTCTAACATGTTTGAACCGAACACGTGTTCGTCCTTTTGCTCGATGGCCAAGTTAGATAGAGCAGGACCGTAATAACCTTCCACAATCACCGGGCGGGCACACGTGCCATAAGTCAGCATCCTCCTCATCGTTGTCCCCCCTTCCGATTGGTAAATGAGCCCAGTTTTCTAGTTTCGCCTGAATCGAGCCAGCCGGCAAATTAAAGTGCTGAACCGGTTCGACTAGAGCTGGATGGCAAAGTAGAGGGTTTGGTACTGTGCACATGCCAATTTGTATTGTATCTGGCATACTTTTGTAATCTACAAAATCAAATCTAGCTGCGTGTCGACCTATGTTGAAAACTATGGCACTGGCTCACATGCATAATAGCACTTAGCTTCTTCCCGACCTGTGTGGGACGTACAAGAAAGTGACTTGAGCAAGAGCACTGACACTGGCAGGAATGCTTCCTGAAAGCTGGTTTATCGCGACATCCCTGAGATCAAAAGGACAGGAAGCAGATGCATAGACGATAATCACTCAAGCACTATGAGCTTGGTTGTCAAGGAAGGCAAGGAACTGACAACACGCCGGACCCGAGAGTGCTGGTGGCGGCCGGTGAACGTGTGGGAATATGCTTCACCACGACCCAACCTGCTCTATAAACACATCGCACACATGCGATCCACGTTTTACATGCCTGCCATGCCAACACAAGCTGGAAATAGGTGTCCTATACGTTTGGGACACCTCTGGTTGAGACCCCTGCTCATAAAACATACGATTTGTCTTCCTATTGTGCTCTTCTTCACACAGGTCCATGTCACGCTGCTCTGCAAATAGCATGGCGCAAAGCTGCATTTCAGTGAGGTTCCTTTATGCGCAAAAAAAGTAAACGACGCTGAGACCACTAAAGGCTAATAAAGTCAAGAATCACTGCAACAAATACGCTTACAGAGAAGCGACCTCCACCGCTCACGTACTGATCTTGTAAGTATTTGCATCTCTTGCTGATTCCCTTGATTTCATCTGTATTGTTGTCAGTTGTAACGTGAGTCTGCACTTCGTGATACTACCTTCTGCCTAATAAAAACAGTTCAAATGCTGCCAATCGAGTCAACAGACTTTCCACATTTCTGGTCAAACCTTTCTCTCGTCACCTAACTACCATGGCTCCTACCCTACCACTCTATAAGCAGGGCCTTCTACTTGTGCAATGGGTCGACCCCGCCCGATCCGACATGGGTTTGGTTTGACCCAACCGAAGCGGGTCAGGTCAGAACCTTGGTGCCTCGAACTGCTCTGATCTTGTTGGGGTAGAGTTGGGTGTGATTCAAAACCATGTTAGTCAGATCGACCCGACCCTGAGCCTGGTCAAATGAACCGACGGCAGATGGGTGGAACGTGGCTGTTGTTTTTGAATTGCAAATTTCTTGTTAATTGTTTTCTTCAACCAGATAAGCATAACTCATTATCAACAAAACAAGCAAAGCCAAACGTCCTGTGCAGTCGAACCGAACATGTTCGATTCAATGCGAACAGTCTTCAAGGGACTGGTGTTCAAAAGCAGTGTGGGCTGATTACATACAGCACATTCTTACAGGGTTACCAGCTTTGTCAGCAAGCCAATGCCAGCGGGGATGGAGCTGGTGAGCTGGTTGCTCGCGAGAGAACTGTTTGAGACGAGGAACAGGCGGAGACCGTGCAAAGGAGATGGGCAAGACAAACCTCTGAGAGTGTAGGGAAGACAATTGTTGTAGTGGCATGAGATTAACTGTCGAACTCAAGCTGGCCCGGTTCTTACATCACTAGCCTAATAACCGATCCAAATTGGGTTTGAGTCAGTCGGGTCAAACAAATTTCTATCCTGGCCGGCCCATTGGCCGACTATATGGTTTGGCCAGTGGGGGTTCATCATGAACCGATGTCACAGCGTAACTCAAATTTGGTTCACTTCACATTCGTAAAATTCAATGTTTCTGAGCTGTTTTTCTTTTTCGTCCACTGAGTGCATTACTGACTGAAACTTCTTCAACTTTGTAGTGCAAGCACCTGTACTGTAACCGAATAATTTAATCACTGAAAAGTTACACACCTTGTTGACCGCCAGCCCTGTCTTGTTGTTCGCGTTCGCCCCAGCACGAACATAGCCGTTCGACGAGCCGAACACTGTTCGGTTCGCCGAACACCTTTTGCAAAAAAGGGTGTTCGATGTTCGCCTGTGAAGGCGAACATCTTGCGGGCAAATGCGAACACGAACGTGTTTGAGACAAACACGTTCGTGTTCGCCTTTGTACAAGTTTCATTGTAGTCACACATGGCAGACAGGGACTTTGACCCTCCCACATGATCCCTAAACGCATGCTCCAACCCTAAACCGCATGTTCTTCAAGGTTCCGCCATTCTCGAGAAAGGTAATGTAACCTACACGATTCTAAGATGGAGTTTAGGTGGTCCTAGGATTCCTAAGAAAGGGTGGTAGTGGGCGTTAGGGGCCTGGCGGGTAGGTCGTGACTAGTTTGAGCTAAAAAAATGAGTGTTCGTTTTTGTGCTCATCCCTACACTAGCCTCTTCATTGCGAATTACAAAATAGATATATACAAATGAAAACGAGGCCATTCAACTTTACTCAATATTGAGATCCATCAAGACCTTTGGGAACTTGGAACCAAATTACAAGAAAGTAAGAGCAGTGAGTTTTGTGATCGAGGATGGAACGGATCCTGACAGCAAGTTGAATTGGAGAGAACTGTTGGTGGTGTGGGGTGGGGAGTAGATGCACGGGGAGAGAGGAGGTGACGAGTTCGAGATTGAGGATAGCATGGATTGAGGTGACAAAGTCTGGACCGACTGCTCGACTTGACGTCTCAGCTTGTCGGCTCGGCTCGTCAGCAGGGCGAGTTGGGCAATGATCCTGCTTCACCGCCTCTGCTGCTAACTCGACGAGCTGGGCTCGGCAAGACCCAGCAGTCTGCTAGTCTCTTAGTCTGCTCACGTGTAGATGTCAGATCCGCAACGATTTAGAACATGGTGACACGCACTTCTCATCGAGCAGTACTCTCCGGCTCATGCAAAAGCTGGGGCCGGGTCGTATTGGCTCGGCCAGCTTGCTACGACGGACGAGCAACGAGCCGAGTCAGCTCCTCAAGCGGAGACAAACTCGTCTTGTCAGCCCACCAGCTTGTCACGGCTCGAGACGAGCCGGCTTGGCCCAGACTCATGCTCATGTGGCAGAAATGAGCCTTACAGGGATGACAACAATAGTAGAGAGCCAATTTCCACAGGGATTGAACCTGTCAGCTGATTAATCCTGAGGGACCTGTAATTGCGTACGAAAGCAAGAAGGACCAGACCAGCAGGTGGAGGTACACGGTGGTGAGAGAAGCACAAGGAAAGTGGAGGATGGCAGGATTTCTCCATCAAGATGAGCCTCTAGGATCATGCGGTAGGATGAGGAGAGGAATGGTAATGAAAATTCTTGATGAATATGGCCCCTGATTCCTGAAATAGTGCAGTCAGGAGAAAGCAGTAAGAATCTCACTGTGAGATTGTGATCGAAATAAGAATGGAGCGAAAAGCAAGGCTATATATCTGGGCACCACAACACATCCATACATTACATTACATTGATGAAGAGTTGTAATGAGTGTTTCACAGACCTCAAAGAATGCATGTGCGTAACCCTTTGATGCTGTTACCTCATGCTCAACATGAAAAAACTCTCCTGTGAATTTAAATCGACAGCACTAGACTGGAGTGTCACTAACAATAAGGAAACTCGGGTGAGTGTGCTGATGGCCAGACCCGTTACCAGAAAGCCGACCCGTTACCATCGGGTTGGCTAAATCAAAAACATGACCCGTCGCAACGAAAAAAACGAGACCGGTTGGGTCTCCGACCCCAGTCGGTCATGTGTACTTGCATTTGGTTTGGCCAGAATGGAACTCATGTCTCAACCAGTTTGGATCTGATGGTCGGGCTGAAATCGATTTCACAACACCTGTGTTTGCTGCTGGTTTCGACCGTACAAGAGAACAGTTCGACACGAACATAAACTCCAATTGTTCCCTGAAACTCCCTAAAAAAGTATGGGTGGACCAGAGCCACACGGGTTCCAGTCGATGCATTATTGAGTTGACGTGTTGAACTGGTTTGATGCAACACGTCTCAAGACTAGGTTACCGCTTCGACATTTTGAACCGGTTCGATGCAATGCATGATAGTTACAGCTGAACATCAACCGGTTCAAGTAAAACCCAGACACAATTCGATTCGAACCAAAAGGCAAAGGGGCACCTAGGGATGAGCACAGATACGAACACCTGTTCGGTTCGCCTCGAACATGTTCGAGGCGAACCGAACAGGTTTGTTTTTTTTGCTTAAAGTGTTAGCCGAACAGTGTTCGAGGTTCGCCTCGACCACGTTCGTGTTCGGGCCGCTGCTGCAATTTGCCCCGCGACGAACACGAACGTGTTCGAGGTTCGCCCGAACACGCCTTCACAGGCGAACGACGAACACCTGTTTTTGCTGGAAGTGTTCGCCGAACCGAACAGTGTTCGGTTCGGCAAACGGATGTGTTCGTGTAGGGGCGAACACGAACATGTTCGTGTTCACCCCTTGCTCATCCCTAGGGGCACCCATCGAGCGAACTCAAAAAACTTTATGTTATGCTGGCAGTCTTTATGTTAGCATCCCGCACGATCGCTAGTTCATAGCTAAGTCACCGCAAATGCTTAACAGCCAAGCGTTTTGCTGTAAGAGTACACTCAACGTTCAATCCTAGCGATT